TGGTGACTGGATTAACAGGGAAAATCCATCGTAGTTAAATTGTTAATAGAACTAGAATACGAAACCATCTAATAAAAACAAATTTGGTACCTTGAACATTTTGTATGCTTGCTTCAAGACTGCATCAAGAACAGAATCCTGTTTACAAAATAATATTATACTCAAATGATGGCAACTTCAGTTAGCAATAATTATTGAAAACAGAGCAAAGAGAACAGAATGACAGCTGTTGAGGTAGGGATCAAGGCATCATTAATACCAACCAAAACATCTTCGTCATGGTATTCAATGATCATCTTGCCATCCTTCGCGGTCTTCTCACTAAAAGGAATGCTGATGGTCTGTGGAGCAGCAAGATAAACACATAAATTAACATTTATAGTAAGCTTAACCCATGGAGAACAATTTTATCGCATCTCAGAGGGCTAAACTTTAACTCAATCTGCAAGACCCCTTCACAGAATCTTGCGGCGGTGATTGCCACTTTAGGCATAAAATAATATGATTACCGGTATCAGTTGAGTAAGGCACGATGGAGCTTTGGTGACGAAGTTTTGGACTTAAAATTTTTGGTGTTGCCACAGGCAACTTTCCTTGTTTCCAATGGTAACAATATCATCGCCTGCAATTTTGCGTGCTTTGCTGCCAATAATGTCAAAGGTTGACAAGTTGCCACTGGAAACGGAGCCAGGTGCCCTTGACAACAACACAAGTTGAATGTTAAGAAGATCTGGTCACCAAACTATTGTCGCACCTTACTCAACTGAGAATCATAGCATATTATGATATTAAATCCCCATTAGATTCTTCTACTTGTCACATTCATTGACAGACTAGAAAGGCCGGAGTACATAGTCCATAACAAGTTACTGTCCAGTCAGTAAAAGTAAAAAAACATTGTATCAAGTGGACATTTCCATACTCTCAACTACATACATTCACATGATGCAACAATTGTAGAACAGACTGACTGTTAAAACCAAGGCTACAGCCTTCTTTTTAATGCCATTTAACAGCAAATTAATAAAAGCCATTATAATTGACTTACCATGATCATCCAGAATTCTGGTTCTGCTTCAAAAAAGACTTGCCTTGTTTTTTGAGTATGAAGAGAGTTACAGGGCTTGTCTGGTGAGAATGTCCTGCACAAAAAACAAAATGAAATAATAATATTGTAAAAATAGCATTAATGGGAGTCAGTGCATTGGATGAATATTTAAGTCTTTCTAATTACATTTCTTAAATGGTCTCAAACAAAACTGACGCAGTAACACTTGTTGAAAGGGTGGACAATGCTTTTCTCCAAAATCAGCCATATATTATGTCCACTGGATCTGATTTACTTAGTGAATAGTATTATCTATTAGTACTTTTGAACATCTAAGATAGATAGGAAAAGAAATTCAATCTTACTGTGTAAACTTTACCAATGCCTCACACAGTCCAATATTCTTGATTTTCCTGTCTAGGTCTTCACCAGTTGGGATATAAAGAACAATCTTTTCTTTTTCCTGTTGTAAATGAAAAAGTCTGCTTTGGGCCAAGTGATCCATACTGCCCAAGCCTATCCTGGTTTCTGAGGCATTAAGATCTAGTGGTAGATACCCTATTCTATCCCTGGATGGCATGCTAATCCATCGCAGGGTTTTACATCTCCCAGCATTAAATGAATTTGCTGATTACCATTTATAAAACTGGATGGAGAGAAGCACTGTGAGAGTAAAGAGTCATCCCTAAGAACACCAAGTTATGACTCCAACCAGACCTCAAAACTGAACCCCTAAATCTGGAGTCCAGCACGTTAACTATGAGACCATATCCTGCACTGCATTTTTTGTAGATTACACCAACGGTATTTAATAAGCATTTAAAACATGTGACGTAAAGGCAAAATTCAGGGTTCATACTCTCTTTTGAACTAAGAATCCAAAGGCTTTCCAAGGACATTCCAATTTTTCAAGGACTCCATCCACCTTAGTTTGTAGTTCTTCCACTATGTGGACAATTTTTTTGTCAAACATTTGGCAGATTGCTCCTTTTCCTTCAAATTTCTACATTTTGCAAGGACCCAACAAACGTTTCAACTTTGATTTTCAAATTCAAAAACTTTCAAGGTGTATGCAAATCCTGGTGTATATAGTCATAGTCTTTGACATATACTTGTGTGTGCAAGCAGACAACCTACTTTGGGGTAGAATTGTGAAAGTCCTGGAATATCTTTAGAATGGAATACATGGTACGTAACTCCCATTACATAATATCAGGAATACATAATACATACTCAACAATCCCACTTCTGACACCATGTAAAGAGAGGGACGCACACACTTCTGAGTGTAGGTTGAAATGCGTTTTTACTCTAATCACGAGACCCTAGATATATCGGTATCTCACAATCATTTAAGTGTCAATCAAATCCATCGGAAGCGGCGTATATTGTAACAATAAAAAGGATGGGGTACTCGTTGAACCCTTCAGGGGTTAAAAAAGCCGTATCGGTACCTCTTAAGGTATCAGTAAGGGGAAAATTTGCAATTTTGCATAATTTTACTTTTTTAAGCGGTTGGATAAATCTTAAAGTAATCTTTAAGATAAAAA